CATTGTTGCTAGGCCTACTGCCTTGCTTTTCTCATAAAATTATTAATTTTTATGTTCACCATATCTGAAGAAACTATATATAAATCAGTTATGATATTTTTGTTTTTTGGTTACTCACTTAACATTTGTTGTAAGTTCTGTCCAACTTTAGTAGTCATGTTTCTACATCTGGATTAACCATTAGTGTAAAAAAAGGACAGTTTATTAATTAATACATACAATAATACAGTACATGCCATGGATAATTACAGATATATTTTTAAAAATGAAGAAAATTACGTCAACTGATTTACCTACGAACTGATCTCATTGTGTAGGAAATCACAGCTTTGTGATAAGATTAGAACTATTGTAATCTTCATATGGAGTGATCAGCCAATCAGAAGCTTTATTTGTGAAGTATAGAAATTGCTAATTATAAACTTGAAATTTTTATGTGATTTTATTGTTTATAGTAACCTGTAGTGATGACCCTATGATGGAAATGGATTTAGTGATGTATCATGGTTATTCATGAACTTTGTTCTTCAATCTAGATATTGTTTGTGGCCCAGCATAAACTGTGGCTTATCAGTAGCCTGCAAATATTGTAGAATGGCAAAGTCCACACCCTGGGTTATCAGCAGGCAGAGTTACGTAGGAGAATGAGTATCTGTGAAAGTCGTCTCATTTGCTAAGGTCAACTCACTGTGATCAGTATGGCTTCAGTAAAAGCCACAAGCATACATGTGTCTGATACACAAACTTGGGAGAAGAACAAGAAATACACGGTAATAAATTTTGATTGTTATTGTTCTCTTTTTGTAATTTCTTACCTACGTGTGCCAAATGGCACGATACCTGTCCTAGTTTTATTTGTCTCACTTTATTGTAAATTGTATTTTTATAATATAATTTCATGCAAAAGTAATTTAAAAGTATTTTCTTATAATCATGCTTCACAGTGTGTATAGTATTTAATTATTGAGTAATACCCCTAAAGTTGATTTTATTTTCTCCGGAGAAAAATGCATTTCATTATCAATACGATAACTACTGTAGCTCTGCCAACTGAGCTCTGTAGATCTGCCAACTGAGCTATGGGGGAAAATATTTTTTTTTGAAGAAAATTAAATAAGAATTTTAAAAAAAATGATGTTTTTGTTAACTTAATTTATATGTTGATAAGGAAGCCTATCATTTACTTACACCTATTTTAGTCTAGAAATTATGTTCCTTTTGCAGTAATTAAAAGGTTTATTCCCAGTATCTCCTAATGGTTTTTGTTCTTGTAACTTGTATTGTTGTTTTAATGTCTTTTTTTAAAAATAATTTTTAAAGATATTAAGTAAATCAAAGCATTTATTTAACTTAAAATATACTGAAGTGAATGTTTTTCATTCTGTATAAAATACATGGCGAACCCAGATGGTTAACATTTCCTGTCTCTATCCTACATCACTGTAAAGAGGAGATAAAAAGAATTGTACTGGTAATAATGATAATACACATCTGAACACAAACATTTGGAAGTTATTTGGTATTACATTGGCATAAATCACTTGATGAGTTTTCCAGTTGTGCTGTGCATATGTTGCCATCATTAGTGATATTGTACTAAATCCAGCAGTAGTATTGCTCGTAGTAGTATTGCTCGTAATGTTTCTGGCAGGTACCGCTCTCATTATTATTGATTGACTTGTTCATATCTGTAGTTTATGGATAACTTTTACTTCCATGTTGAGCAAAAATAAAACCAAACTGTCTTTAAAATGATAGGCTACATTTCAACATTTTTACAAAGCCTATAAAAGAGCTTATGGTTTGTATTACTGTACATTTCAAATCTATGAGACCTAATCAGTCAATGTTGAAGTGGATACTAATGTGTGTTTATATTTGTAATGTAGTCTATAATTATTTTTAAAGTGGTATATGGAAATATTTAGTGTTATTATATTATATTGAAATTTATTCATCAAGGATGGCTCGTCTAGCAAAGCTGATCAGTTGGATAAGACCTCATTACAATAAAACACAGAATCTCATGACAATAAAAAAATACATTAATTACATAGTAATTCATAAATATTTCAATAAGTCTTTAAAAAATAGAAATATAAATAAAACATGTTATTGGAAATTTAAAAGGTATATTTTGAAATTCAACATTCAACATGTTGAATATAAAGTGATGTGTTTTAATTCGTAATATTTTGTATCAAGTACAGTTCTTTGAATCATGGTCTGATATTTTAGTTAATTTTGTTTTAATGTTTGGTAATTTGAATGGCTAAGCGGTTAAGGCAGGGGTGCCGCAACCTACAGGCATAGTATTGGGGGGGGGCAGCCCGGCCGGTAAAAAAAAGAGGGGAAAAAAGGAAAAAAGAAAGAAAAAGAAAAAACTGATAGCCCACAACGCCTCAAATGTTATTTTCGGGCGTCTAGAACACAAAAATTTCGGAACCCCCTAGGACATTGTTGTCTCGATCGACCCAAATTTCGGCCCCCCCTTTTGGACATCTCTGGATCTGCCCCTGTTGGTGCTGGTTCGAAGAGCATGCTCACCTATGGTTTTGGTGGTGGAACAAGTCTTTTCGGATAAGGACTCTAAACTGTAGGCCCAGTGTACACAATTGGCTTGTGTGCACCCAGTACATCCTTCAAGAAGTGTAGGGGGGTTACCCTGGTGTACTGGTCCCTTTGGGGAGAAAGAAGTTGTAGAATGAGTTGGTCGACACCTGTGCGCATTTCAGCCTAAAAGCTGCAAGTCACAGGTTATTTCCTACATTTACCTTTTATGTAAGAAACCTCAACAGATGTTATGTTATTTTGCTTATCGTTAGTGTTTTTATTTTGGTTCTGTTTTTCTTGTTACCATTTCAATTTTAATTTAACTTCATATGTCTTTTGCATCATACTGGAAACTCAATCAATCATTAATTGTCAAAATAAAGCCATGGAGTGGCCATTCATGTTCATCTTTAAATTATTTTGCAGATTTTCCTTTTCCATAAAACATTATATTATTTGTTGATTAATTTTTTGCAGGTCTACAAAGTGGTAGTTGTTACTGGAAGCAAAACATGGTTTATATTTAGACGATATAATGAATTTCATAAACTCTATGAACAGGTAGGTTATTTTTTGCAATTCATATATCAGAAGAATGTAGAATTTGAAATTATGAAACTTATTAACAAGAGAAACTTCACAGGTAGTTTATATATTTAAGTTTTTTAGGGACAACATTCACCCACATATCTATTGAAAGTGATATTTCTCAGAATTCGTGCCATGGATGTTTAACGACAAGGATTCGCTTGTTCTTTCATATTTCATTAATTCACTTAAACCCTTGCTGAATGTTGACACATAAAGTTTTTAATTGTCTGTCGGTGGAATGTTATTTTTAACTCATGTATATACTTTATGTTCTTTTGATTCATTTGTTTATTTTTATTTTACTTTTAATTGTAACCTTTTAGGGGGTAGTAGAATCACTTAATAGTTGATTTAATTTTAACTTTTTAATCATCCTGTCTACCTCTTTATTTGTTTTTTATGTACAGTATCATTCTTTGTTATGTTTCAAACACGAAATAAATAAAATGGAATGAAATGAAGTGAAGTGATGGACAGATTTTAAATCATCATTCAACAAACTGTGGGTCACAACCCACCATTGGGTCGTCAGAATATTTCAGAGGGTCACTCATACAGACTCATACAAAAATCAGCTAGCTCTAGTATGTCACTAGCATTACTACACGCTGGTATTTATATACAGGAAAACACATGTTATTTTATAATAATATTCAGTATTAGACTTGACCATAAAATGTAAGATTTCTTTAATATTTTATTAAACTGACATATATTTAAGAAATGCCTAGTTCTTCCCAACATATGCATCTGTGCATAATATGGGTCAGTGGGTCGAAACTCAAATTCATATTTCCCAACTGGTTTATCAGTTCTAAAAGTTTGCAGAACACTGTTTTAGATAATATCTGGAGAATTATGGAATGCTTAATAATAATAGTAACAAATACGATTTATATAGCGCACATCCACTGAAACTAGAAAGCATGAAAATTAACACTTATATCCGTAGTCAATCACACGACACTGTTTGATGTACCAACATAGCGATTTTTGTTATTTGTTACTTGGTATTTATATACTGTAGCACCTTTAGGCCACAAAACACTTTGTTTTTCCTGGTCATTGGGTCCACATGCTTAAGTGTTGCTGCCATATTTGCGCAGTAGAAGGCAACGCTACCACCAGGTACCCATTTATACTCCTGGATGGAGAGAAGCAACACAGATAAAGTGCCTTTGCACAGTGAGGGATTAAAACCCTAACCACAAGCACTGCAATGCACCTAACACCCTTGAGTGTCAGTGGTTTTCTGACTGTATTGCATAACTCGCAGTGAAATGTTTAAGTCAATTTAACTTAAACTGACTTATTTTGCAGCTGAAGAAAAAATTCCCGGAAGCTGAGTTGAAGCTTCCAGGAAAGAAATTGTTTGGCAACAATTTTGACCCTGAGTTCATTAGGACGAGGAGGACAGGACTGCATGATTTTGTACAGAAAATTCTTGTACATGACACTATATTACAACAGTGAGTAATGAAATTAGATAAGAATTAGATGTGTACTACAGTGTATCATAAAATCTAGTAGTAATACTTTTGAGAATTCATTTTATTTTTCAGTTACTAATATAAGAGAATCAAATGAGATTTTTTTATTTTATTTTCCTTCATATTATTTTGTTATTAAATGAAATATTAGCAAAATAGATTATCTGTATATGCAACAAGACATATGATTCAAATACCATTCAGTCAAATCAAGTTTGTCTCAATTATTATAAAGGACTAATAAAAATTAAATATCAGAATTAGATTTAACAACTAGTATGTATAAGGTGTATAACTAGTATATATAAAGTTCATATACTTATCCCAGGTCCACTGCTGTTTAAGAAATATATGAATGGATTGACAATTACAAAACTGCATTTTTCCCATTCCCAATGCTGTTTATCCTTGATTAACCCCTGATAACAAAGTATTTGTATATCTTTATATTTGCAGTCCAGAAGTGAGAGCTTTTCTATCACTTGATGATCCCAGGAATAAATGTGAGGATACCGTTGAAGACGAAAACAACACAGAGTATTACAGTGATCCTAAAGACCCAAATACAATCAACCTCGGGCCGTCAGCTAACCCTGCGTGAGTCAAATAACTTCTTATGAATCCCTATCCAGACCATCAAATTTAATTTAATAAAAAATTGTCTGAATTTCATAAAAACAAAAATGACTAATAATTAAAAGGTACAGTATTTATTTACAAACTAATAATTAAAATGTCTAAACAAAATGTGTTAAAAATGTCATATTCCGACCGAAAACAAGTGATAGTAATAACAGGTTTGATTTCTTAAACACACAAACACATGGGCATTACTTAGCATACAAGAAATGGAATCATCAAAAACTGAAATAAAACACTAGCAGTATTTCAGATTATGTAAAATGGAAAATGCACAAAATACATCAAAAACAATTTGTTTATTTAAGATTAAAACAAAACAAAAAAAAAAAACATGTGACAAATCACATCATGACCATATATAGGCACATCATGACCATATATAGGCACATCATGATTATATATGGGCAAACAACAGTATTTTTTTCATATAAATTTATAAATTTTTTGTCAATAAAAATGAAGAAACACTGACTAAAATACAGTATTAAAAAATATTAATGAATGTCAGCCCCCAGCCTATTCTTTATGGACTAACATTTGCTGTATATTATCAACCACCAGTGCCAAGCAACTACAAATTCTTTATCATATCGATGATAAATATTTGCTAATTTGAATTAACCTATAAGTTCAATAAAAATATAAGTTCATTGAAATTTGCATTTGTCAGTTTTCAATTGATGTTCATTGTGTAACGCAAAATCAACAAAAGTCATGACGCACATTATGACTAGCTTTTGTAACATCAACTACTATTTACACAGTGTTGTTTTTCCCTCACACATTGTTAAATACTTATGTGATCGTTTTTAAACCCATGATTCTCTACAGTATAACACAGGTGGGCAAAGTGTGGCCTGCTGGCCACGTACAGCCTCGCAGCATTTTCGTTGTGTTCCTCAAAAATAATTGAAAAACCATATACTGTATGTGTGACCCACCTACCATCTACAGCTAGAAAACTCCATTGTTATGGTCTGATGCCAATCATCTGTAAAAGTAATAGTAAAACTGAGCATAAGGTGGTATAAAAGCAGTGCATGAATTTTTTTTTAAAGCACTCTGGAAACATCAGATTTTCACAAAAAAATAAGTTGTGTATGAACCCATAGTGTTCAATCAGAATTCAGTTTGACACTCCACGGGTCCCAAGTCTCCTGGAAGTCGCAGGAGTCTCCCAAAAATCGGAACGGAATCCCACATTCATTCAAGTAAGCCAGAACCTCCTGGAAATTGACCCATCTTCCGCAAATTCATTGTCGATTGTAACAGCAAAATATAATTAAATATGTTAAGTAAGCTCATTTAACCAGATCTTCCGGAAGGGATTTTCTCCAACTTGGGACCCCTGACTTTTACCAATTTTTATGCATACCTCTGCTCTACAATAGGATTTCTTTATGAAGCTTTGGAAGTGGGGGGAGCTCATCATCAAGTTTTTTCAACTCTCATTTTTTTTAATTTTTAACAAACCTAAAGAGAAGAACTAATCACATAACCTTGAAACTCTAAATAATCATTAAGGTATAAGGTGAAAAGCTCAACACTTTACCATTCTATAATATTTGCTATGATAACCAGCAAAAGAGACAGAGACATGCTAATTGTTAATACCGCACAACATTACATTCTCTATTCTTTTGAATTTAGCTTATTTCAAAACAGTCTGATGATCAGTTTATTAGCAGTTAAACCTATAATAATAATCTAATTTATTTTTTTTTATTATTATTTTTTGTATTTAGGGCAAGACCCGGTGATTTTGACTTCCTTAAAGTAGTTGGTAAAGGCAGCTTTGGAAAGGTGTTACTGGCAAAAAGGAAACATGATGATAAAATTTATGCTGTCAAAGTTCTTCAAAAAGAAGCAATCAAAAAAAGAAATGAGGTAAACAAAATGTATATTAGTAAAGTATATTGATATAATTATCATTAATATTATTATTATTATTTTCTTTTTCTTTTAATACTCTTGACATGTTTTACAAGTCACATTATAATTTGACAGCTTAGTATATTTTTCTGTATACTAGTAAAAAATGTGTGCATGAAGAAACAATTATTGCACGGGAAAAATGTCGTCTCAGGGCCTGCTTGTGATTTAATTGTCTTGCTTTTCTTCTCAAATTTAGTCTAACTTCAATGAATCAAAATGTGCCTAGCCTTTTGATTCATATTGCAAAACTTTTCCTCCAAAGCACCACATTGTGTTCTTCAAGAGTTAATAAAACAGTAACAAAAGATTGTATGTGATGTAAATACTGTAGGAAGTGACCTTTGGTCCTCGAGTTGACAGAGGTCAAACATGCCATACATTAACGCATCTAATGTATATCAGACATGAAAATTGCATTTGAAGACAAATGATGGCAAGCAGTGCAAGTGCAATGTTTGTTACATGCAGGCTATTTTTATTTTACAAATTTGTAAAAATATCATTTTATTCTTTTATGAAAAAGATATATGCTTCTGAAAACAGCCTGGTTAAAGTGTTAAGTCAGCACTGAACTACTTGACTATGTTTTCAAAGTAGAAAACACTTTTGTATTGAGCAGGTTTTATTGCTGTATACATTTTGTTATATTTTATGCTTTCCTTTTAGTATTTGTTATGGATGAAATTCCAAAATAAAAGTTGATAACATATAACATATAATAATGCTATGATAATAATTTTGTTTTATTGTTGTTTTGACAAAACATGTATTATTATTTTATCATCATCATAAACTTATTATCATGAATGATTTTGATCTAATTAAGCATAATTAAAACTGCATTAGATTTTTTTTTTTAATTCGGCTTCTGTTTTAACTATTTTTACAGGTGAAGCACATCATGGCCGAGAGGAACGTGTTGATAAAGAATGTGAAGCATCCATTTCTTGTTAACCTTCATTACTCATTCCAGACACTAGACAAGCTCTACTTTGTCCTTGATTACGTTAATGGCGGGGAGCTTTTCTTTCACCTTCAAAGAGAACGTTCTTTCACCGAGCCTAGGGCCAAGTTTTATGCGGCAGAAATGGCCAGTGCAATAGGTTATCTCCATTCATTGGACATTATATATAGGTAAATATCTGTGGAGTGATACAGGTCTCACGATGTCTGTTATTCTGACATGGATATTCCATGGGGAAAGGTATTAATTGTTGTACATGGATATCAGGAGACATGTGCTAAATCAGGAGACATATGTAACTTTTTTCTCTAATGAATCAGGTGTTAGCTTTGTATAGCTAAAATAAAATAAATTCTTGCCGAGCCATGGGGCTCATAGGCCTGGAGCTTATCCCTAGTTTCTGTAGCGTGAAGCAGATGAGGGTATGATACTCCCCCTGCCTGGGTGGGATGCTAGTCCACCACGGACTACCCCCAGCAATTTGCTGCTACCCATTGATACAGCTGGGTAGACTAAAGCAATGTAGATAAAGTGGCTTGCTCAAGTAGACAAGCGAAATGCACTGTGAAGGATTGTAACCCTAACCCAGATGTTGGAAAGCCAAACCATTTCCACTCCACTTCCAGCTAAAATAGCTTGTTTAATTGGTCATCTCCACTTGTCATTATTGTTTACTTAAATTTATAATACAATTCAGGTGAAAAACCAATTTGTTTTACGAAACACTTTGTAGTAAACATCTGCATTTTGTGTATATTTAAAAAATAATATATACTCAAATATCATTATTCAAATAGAAGATAGATAAAGGAGCATTTGAAACAAAGCCCAGTCAGACTAAGATTACGAAAAATTGAGGGTTGACTTCTTTTTTACTGTATGGTGTTTTGGAAGAGCACTTTTCAAGCTTTTATAAACTTATTACCTGTACCATGAATTTTAGGCTTATTGGGTACAGTTCTATCGGATATTTAGGCACCCTAGAAATAGACCTTAGTCTATAGTACTAAAAAAAATTGAAAAAAATCATCCTCGATACCCAATTGTCACTCTTTTGGCAACTCCTTTTTTTTTTTTTTTTTTTTTTTTTTTTTTTTTTTTTTTTGGCATTATCATTTGTTAGGACTTATGTCCAACTTCGTGTGTGTTTGTAAAAAAATGGTAAAGGTTGTTTAACCTGTACAGGTCCAAAGTGCCCATCCCTCTTTCGAAAGCATTGGTGGCTTTGGGGCCAGGCTGCAGAATTTGGCAGTAAGGGGTCCACGAGAGTCTACACGACCTCGGGCCCACCATGGTTGGGGTTCAGGTGCGAGAATTTTGAGAATGTGGACCCCTGGGTGCCCGGAAATTACACTCTCATACCTTAAAAAAATGTACAGGTACTATGTTCATATCAACAAAACAATAGAAAAATATTTCTTAATACAATTTAGGGGTGCGATCACACTGTTGCACCTCCTGCATCCGCCCCAGGGGATCACCACCCCTCCTCACAACGAGTCAGTTTAGCGTTCCAGCATATGCTGGTACCTATTTATATGCCTGAGTAGAGAGAGACAAATGCAGATGAATGTCTTGTCCAAGGACACAAGTGACTTCCACTGCAACAGTTTCAAACTGCAACCACGATGTTGAGAGTCCAACCCTCAACCGCTTTGCCAAACATTTCCAACATGTGTTTGTGTATGTTTGTTAATGTCTGCCTGGTGGAAATGTGTTTACTTTATAACAATTTAATGTCTACTGATCATCACCACAAATGACATTTGTGGACAATACAGCATAAGCAACCTTTGAATCTTAATCTTATCTTTCCTTTCAACCACAGAGATCTTAAACCAGAGAACATTCTTTTGGATTCATCTGGTCATGTTTGTCTCACTGACTTTGGTCTTTGTAAAGAAGGAGTGGCAGCTAAGGGCACAACCTCTACATTCTGTGGCACTCCAGAGGTATGTATCATATACAGTATAACACAGAAACAATCTGAAATGGATGGAATTTAATGAGACTCCCTCGGTTTCAAGAAAGTCTTTTAACATATCAAAATGGAGAAGCACATTTATTGTCAATGTTTTCTTCAGTCTCATAATAATCAGTAACTATTGATGTCACCATCATTATGAACACCATTTTTATGTTTATAATGAAGATGATATTATATATTAATGTCATTATTTTCATGAATGTTTTTACATATAATACCTACAGAATCATGTAGGTCTTAAATGTTATTATGTCTTTTATTAATATTATATAAATGTTATAGTTACATAATAATATATATATCTGGTTCTTGTCTTTTTGTATTGAACAATACTTAGTATTTAGCTCCAGAAGTTTTAAAGAAACAAGCCTATGATAGGAGTGTTGACTGGTGGTGTCTTGGTGCTGTTCTGTATGAAATGCTGTCTGGACTGGTATGGCAAGTGTCATGTTTCGATTAATTTAATTATATTATAAATGTGCTGTACTGTTTGTGGCTGATAATTACATTTACAGACTCGGTACCAATACTGTAAGTAATGGACGCTTAGATAATTGGTTGTTTTACTTTACTTTCAAACAATTTATGATCCAGTATTGGTTGCTGATGTGGGATGGGAAAGATCAGGATTTTAAAAAAACATGCTTTAACAAGTGGGTGGGCCATCATTTACATTGCTCTACGTGTGCTTGCAAAGGTGGATAGTTAGTGTATCACTTCACTGTTTTTATCACATCAATGTTTTAATTATTGGTAACTAGTGTTAAGAAGTATGTTTTGATATTGTTTACAATATTAAAGAATTCAATAAATACATTTTTATATGCTATAATACATTTTTTGCCTTTTTTATAATTTATACAATTGTCAGTATATAATATTTTGAGTATAAACATCATGTTGTGAAACATACTGTAATGCTTGTTTTGGAAACAAATGTGGTATTTTTTTCTAGCCTCCATTTTACAGTCGTGATACAGCTGAAATGTATGACAATATATTAAATAAGCCACTGAGACTGAGGAGCAACTTTTCAGCAGCTGCTAAGAGCATACTAGAGGGGGTATGTAAACAGTTTATAGCATTTTTGTCTGAAATTAGCCTTCATAATTATTTTTCAGCTGGTATCTTTAATTAGTAGCCCGTCATTGAGCATTACCTAAATAATTTGGTCTACTTCATAAGCCTGAAGCTTAAACCTGGGGACACATTAGCGGCCGACAATATCCTCTGCCCTCTGTGAACATGATGCCAAATCGTCTGCTGATTGTCGGTGACAGTCTGAGACAGTCTAAAAACGGTCAGTCTCATGCCCCTTGTTGCATTCTACACAGAATCATGTTGACCAGCTGTCTGCCGATGCAGTGTGTGTGTGTCTGGCTGTAGTGCGTACATCATCACATAGATTATTATTCATCCTCTAAGTTTTATGCATTGCTTTTGGGTGAGAATTAAAAAGAATAGGAAAAAAAATGAAAATGAATTACTGTAGAAGTATTCATTATAAATGTGTCATGATTTTTGTACCCTATAGGCGTTCTTGTAGAAACTGGCATAATAAACAAATTAGGCACTTGTGTATCACCAATTTTCCACCTTCTATTACAGCTGCTTCACAAGGACAGAAAATTGCGGCTCGGTGCTGGGGAGCGAGATGTTAAGGATATAAAAAACCATGCATTTTTTATCAGTATATCATGGGAAGATTTGGAGAGTAGGAAAATTAAACCACCATACAATCCAAACTTGGTATGTATATAATATATAATTTTTAAAATTTCATATTTGCTTGTAAAATATTATTGAACTGTACTGTGGGAATCGAGCCAGCAACCTACTGAGAAAAGTGCCATTTAGGCAGATCAATGTGTGGTACTCTGAAGTTTACTGGTTTGATCCCTGCATTGGTGCATATTTTCTTAGCTCTATTACTGCAATTTACTGGGAAGTTATTTTGAAAGCAGCTTAGCTTAGTTACTGTAGCTTAACTGGTGGTAGCCAATAAATACATCAGTGCTGAACCATGAAGGTCCCTAAGACCTTTGTCCTCTGGTCCATTCCCATTGGACTCTCTTAGTGTTTCAGCTGGAGGGTTAAATGCAAGTTTAATCACATTCTCTTTCAGAAGAGATGTTTAAGCCTTATGGGCAATGTTACATGCTCATGAACCTTGATTTATCTATAGCTTAGACATATCCTCAGAAGAAAGGTGTAAACTCAAGCTGATAACACGAAAAGCAGTTGAACTTTAATACCATAATAAATAGTAACAATGATGTTGGTTTTTCAGAGCGGTGATATGGATTTGAAGAATATTGATCCTGAGTTTGTACGAGAAGAAGTGTCCCAGTCTGTTGGCAAATCGTTAGATAACAATTTTATCAGTGCCAGCGTTCAAGAGGCAGATAACACCTTCTCAGGCTTCACATATGTACCTCCTGTCTCTTATACACATCTAGATGTGTATAAGAGACAGATCTGGAACTTTTCACGTTCATGGTGAATGCCAGTAGTGACTGAAAGCTTCTTTATTCTCATGCCTTAATCTGTGACTATTATGCAAATAAGCACCGCCAGTGATTTTTGCATTTTGCATATTTTTTTCAATTAAAATTAAAATTTATGCAATGAGATCAGGGCGCTGATACTAACAGATATTTGAATCATATGCTATCATCTTCCAACGCAACTTCATAGAAACTGAAGATAATTTTACTTTTATTTTATTTGTAAATGGATTGAGAACATATAGTGTAAATTTTAACCAGATGGGTGCACATATATTTGGCATAATTTAGTATTTTCTGTAAATATTGTAGTTCTAAAAAATATGGAAAATATTAGGCAATACCAAAGAGTATAGAACTGCAAGAGGTCTGAATCCTATCTCAAAGAGTACTACCACGAACTAGAGGGCGCCTTTCAAAAGAATGTAAAAGGTGTTCGTATCGAACGCGTGCTGTGATAGCTCCTTCAAAACAATGTAAAAGGAGTTTGTATCAAACGCGTGCAGTGATACCGCCTTAAAAATGTTCAAGTTTTAAACTGCATTCAAATTGTAATAGGGCGCCCCCTATCTCTTGTTAGTACAGTACAGTTCTTAGTATTTTGTTTCATTGCATGCATGCAAAATCAAGGCAGTAGGACCTGTCGCTATTCTATACAATCTTTGGCAAAACTGTATATTCAGTTTGAAAAACTGTCCAATACTATTAATTTTCTGATGTGACAAATACCTGTGATCAAAGCCCTGTCCACACTATCAAATTATATTTGACAAAAAATATGGCATGCCTAAATATGGTCACGATGACATCACATCATGGTGATATATAGCCACGTTGTGACTATATATGGGCATACAACAGTTTCTTGTCAAAGAAAATTTGACATTCTGACTGAGTTTTATGGATGTGGTATGACATCATGATCGTAAGTCCAAAAAAAAAATAAATTGTTGTATTGGCCACACCCAACTGACCCAAATTTAAATTTAAAAAAAAAAAAAGTTTTCCTACTGACCTACTCATTTTTTGGCTTTTCCCAAAACGTGACCAACACAGATTTTTTTTTTTTTTAACTTTATGGGTGAATCACACAAGTTTGCCATATCAAATAATTTGATGTTGATAGGGCTTTAAGTGTAATTGTGTTTATACAGACATTTTAGGATGAACACTGTGATTTGTTTTGTTTTTAATCTAAGTAATGTGTTGGGAAGATGGATTTGATGCTTGTACAAAGAAGGGAGAATTATCCATAACCTTAGCCTCTACCCTCACACATTGATACCATCAATGGTATGTCATTATGCAGCAAAACTTAACTGTATATATAATGCTGAACTGTCAGTCAACAATATTATGTTTTATATTTGATTTGATAATTGTGTACCCACTACCCGATTCACATAAAATGACATGTGCTAATGTTTTAAGTACTTCCTGAGATATCAGTCTTCACACTCGTTACTTCTAACTTTGCAGAAATTGTGTAAAATTTGATATACAGACCATTAAGAAAGCTTGACACAGCAGTAAATGTAAGCTGCGCCATGTGAACTTGCGAAATGTCTTGGGAATTTTTTGTAGGCGTCTGTTTTTCTTTATGGATATTGTATTACATACAAGGGGTGCTAATGTTGCATGAACTTGCATTCACACTATTGCCATGGAGTAGACAATGCATGCTAAAATTGTCTTCACACTTGTTGCATGTAACCTTTCGTCTTGTATGAATCGGGTATTAGTTCTCATATTATTTGGGAAATGGGATTATACCTCCTAAGGAGGGTTAGATTTGACAGCCTAGAATTTTTTATATCTTTTTTTTATAAAGAAGAAAAAATTATATTTTATTTCAGGAATGTGTAAACTGTATAGGACAAGTAATTAAATATAGAGGACCTCATTTAGCTAATGTGACTATAGGAAGTAGCACGCTTTATATAGAATTTAACATGTGGACAAAACCAACATTACACATATAGCTACAGCTGTACTTATGAGGATGTTGAATTGGTAGCAAACCAACAAGCTCCCTGGATTCCAATCAGCCTATCTGCTAACCCTCTGCTGCTTGGAATTAAACAATTTATGTTTAGACCTACACCTATTAGTAATACACATGCAGAACTTATTTATATAAATTCTCAGATATATTAATTTCCAAAAATAATTAAATTATTAAATTTTGTCTACAGTCAATTACAAACAATAAAAAATGTCAGTACAGACCTAAAGGCAAAATACTGAAAAACAGCAATGTATCAAAGATACAAAATTGATAGCGACAGCTAATAATTATTTAAACGTAATATACACAGCCAGAGAAAAGCCAAGTATATACGATACAAGATAAATTTTATTCCAAAACAAAAACAGTAGTATTAAAACAGTAATGACAGCAAGATTTAATATTTAAAAGTATCTTTTAATTTGCAATAAGGTAGGTACTTTATAGTGTATAATTTAGATAATGTTTATTCTGTTGCAGTGACAGTTAAAATGTTATGTTGTAATAACTTTTTAGAGTTGGTATTATTTGTTTTCCATATTTAATCAGTACTTATATACATTCTCAATATTTTTCAGTTTTGATTATTAAATTATAATAGTAAAATTTTATATGATATCTGTATATAGAGGACTGCATGTTATCATTAATGTACCGTAAATTATTGATGAGGTTAGTCCTAATACTGATGAAATTGTATTAAATACTTATGTTTTACTGCTGGAAGATCTTATTTTAAATACAGTAGTTCTGTATTAAGACTTGCATAAATTATTAGTCTTTCTGTTTGGTTAGTTGAATGGAGAGACAGTATCTCCACTATGAACCATAAGTACAGTAGTTTAATAAACGAATACAAGATGTATGTTTTACAATATGCCTACATAGTTGTATTTCCAGTTGTATAAATTATGACATATACTCCTAAGCTCTGGTGTCTCCAATATGGCTTTGAAGTCTTACCTCCTATGCTGCTTCCAGAAGTTTGAGTGTAAATATTGGGTCTAAATTCATCAAGCACAATATGTAACTTTAGAGTTACCTTTGACAACCTGTTTCAGTTTCCACAGTTTCTGACATGATTCATGCATTCATAACTTATACAGAATTTACTCCTGAAATTCCCTTTTGTACATTGATTTCAGAAGTTTGAGTGTAAATATTGGGTCTGAATTCATCAAGCACAATATGTAACTCGGGAGTTACGTTCGACAACCTGTTTACAGCCCTTTCCGAAGCTCAAAATGTTTTTTATTTTCACTTGCAAACTCTTGTCTCACTTCACTTTTACAGTCAAGCACTTGCAATACTAGTATGCCTAATGCCTAAGGTTTCAGTGACATATTCGCACAGATGATTGTTAATTTTCTTTTGCTGGTCTGACGTTGACATAGCATTTCCTTCCATCTAAAGTCGCATCTGATGTTGAAAATTCAAAACTTGACTAAATTAGATGCAATATCAGTGACAAACAGTAGTTTTAACGGCCCAAAGTTTCATTCTGACCATCTCACGAATCATGTAAGTCTAGATTCCAAGGGAGACCCTTTTAAATGCCTTAAAAGCTTGGTTTTCATACAATCGCTACACTGCTGGCGCTACAGCAATTGCTAGCATGGATCTAGGCCAGATTGTCGAAATCCAGTATACCGAATGCCAGACTGCCGAGTCCACTTTGCCGAAACCCAGTTTGCCGACTCAAAAACCATGAATCCCAGTTTGCCGAAAATCAATTCGAAGCAGTGATTCAGTGTAAGATTAACAGCATAAAATTCACGATGGAGCATTCTCTTACCCTGACTGAATCTGTGTGAAGTAGTGGCACCAGTGGAAATTCGGGGCTGAGGGCCGCACCGGCTGGTCAGAATTGCGCCATTCAAACCCATCGCAATGCGATCACTGTGAATTCATATAACAAATAGCTGCTTAAGTTTAATTAATCTTTGTTGTCTTTTTGTCAGCAACAAGATTAGTTAAGTAGGCCTATCAGATAAAATGTCTTATAGGCCTAAGCATATTATAATAAATATATGAAGTTCAATTAAGATAATAATATGTATACCTAAAGGAAATAAATAAACTAACAATAATCTACATTATTGTGCCAATGGTAGATCCAGTAATTTGCCGACAGAGTCCGACAGCAGGTCCGATCACTGGGGCCGACAGAGCCCCGGTCAGGGTCCCGGCATAACATTCCCTGGTAGGGTTCGTGGAGAGAGTTTTTTAAGTGTTTTTAGACCACAATATTAGGGATTGGCAATCAAAATAGCAATATTTGGATAGGAAAGTTGTTATATAAGGTCAATGTCGTGACGACGGTAGCCATGCCTTCAAATGTGTTTTTCCACAACATTGTTTTTTTTCCAATACTTTTCCTTTTGGTTTATATATAAATACGACTCCTCCTGACCCACTCATCATGTTTTCAAAAGCATAGTATGCTGTACTTCTGTACGACGGTGACGACAAGATTCGGCAAACTGGGTTGTCATGGTTTCGGTGTACTAGATTCGGCAATCTGCAGTGGGTTTCGGCAAAATTGGCATGAACTCGGCAAACTGGGTTTTGACAAGCTGGTCAGATACCCACAGGTTAGCTGCACCGGCGTGAGTCGGGAATTCAACCAGGTTCAACGATTACAATCATACAATTTGGCAACTCGATGATAAAAGGGAAAGCAAGATCTTATGAATTAAGCGCCTCTGGACAGATTCAATTCGATTGATGGTTTTCTGCTGGAAAGGAAACCAAACAGGTGAGGCATATTCAATAAAAGGCCTTAATATTTGATGAAAACAGTTTATCGTTGCTTCGAAAACACCTCTTACTATATCCTATACTGGTTTATTTCATTTGCTGAGCAATGTTTTTATTTCATTTTAGATCAGATGGCATAAAGACTCATAAATACGTACAGTATAGTCCCAAACCTGTTAGTACATTGTCATTTATCGTGTATTGAAAACAGACTTTGGATCTAGTAAC